TAATGGCCCTAAAACCCCTTATAGGCTCACAGATGCCATGCTCTGTTAGCACTTTACTAACAGAGACACGGCTCTGCCAAATTCCTAATGAAATGTACATCACATCTTTTAATAACGTTCAACCTGATACAAAATACTGGGATATTGGTGTTGGACTGGGGTGTTGCTCAAAAAAAAGTTTTCTTTCTTTCTTTCTTTCTTTCTTTCTTTCTTTCTTTCTTTCTCTCTTTCTTTCTTTCTTTCTTCCTTCCTTCCTTCCTTCCTTCCTTCCTCTGTTTTGAGTTAACCCATGGCATTTCTATCTGATGTGTTCCCAATGATCTGCTTGTATTCAGCAAGCACATCTGCAAGGTAAGCCTTAAAATGATTTCCAAATAAATAATACTTTGAAGTCAATCTTAAATGTAACTGAAAGTCAATGTAAGAACATGGCTGGTGTAATATGCTCAGATTTTCTAATTCTAGTCAGATTTTTTTCATATAAATATAAATTTCATATCACAGTTTTACAGAACACACTTTTTTTTGTTGTTGGTGTAATGCCATATATTTGACAGAACTTGATTATCTGATGTTTGAAAGCTGATAGCAGAAAATTAGGTTTATCAAGTATTTCCTCACTGACTCATCATCTCTCCTTTCTGCTGTGTACAAAATAATAAGGTGTCCATCTACAGGACCCCGTAACCTTTAGTCAAAATACAATCAAGACTTGAAGAATAAATACAAAACTGTCAATTTACATCTACTGTAGAAATAGTCCTCAGTAGGTAACAGTACTGCGTAATATCATTGCGCCTGCTGCAGCCATGGGACAGCGAAGTTCCTTCATTATTATGCCTGAATGATAGTTATGTTCCTAGTCCTATTGGCCTAGAAATTATCAACCTTTCATTTTTGTCTGTCTTAGCACACAATGTAACTAAAAGAGTCAAGCTTTAAATTAGAAAAATAAAACAAAACTCGTTTTTTTGATTTGTTTTGAGCGAGATGCTAATAATTGATTCCAATTTAATAATTAATGCTAAGCTAAGCTAAAAGTGGTCCTGCCAGTCCCAAAGATTGGCTGGGAAAGCCAAACCTAAGTCCACCTCCAAATGACTCCAGCTACATCCCTCTATCCGCTTGTTAAGTCGTGACAAATCTGTGATGTATGGAATACTGTTTCCGGGTACAAGCCCCTACTCATTTTGTTATATTATTAATATATTAATAATATAAAATAAAATATTTTTATGACCACTTTTTAGTAATATCACACATTAAAGTGAATTTTATAGATAATCATGGTGTACACATTAGTCTCTGGACTTGCTCCATCACAGACACTAATAATTTTAACAATTTATAAAAAATGTATCACTTTCTGGCCATCTGATATTAGGCAAGGGCGTATTTATTACGATTTTTCGAAAGTTTTACATTGCTTTTGTAAATGTTAATTATTACCATTTGTTGAGTGTTTGATATATACAGTTTGATATAACACTTGGACCTGAAAGCCGATTAACATGACGTCACACTTAACAAGCAGATTGTGAGACAAATCATCTACATTGTAAAAAAACTTCTGTATATTGACATGCTTTGCTTATTTTGAGATTCATGTTTTCCCCCACTTATTTAGCATTATAAATTGCATTATGGGACCCCGATGATGGCTTTTGATGTCGAAAGCTTGAAAAATGGACTTTTATTGACATTTTTAATAGTTGAAAAAAATATATTCTTTGGGTTGGTGTTGGTAACAATCAATAAGGTAATAAACTGCCAGTACATTTTCTGTTATTTAACTATCTATATATTATTTCTTAAACAATATGTTGTCTCAGACTACTAAAATGTCAATAAAAGTCACACTGTTAAAACTGCAGTGTTAAATTTTCAACATCAAAAGTGCACAGAGCAGAGATAAAACTCCAATAATGCAGTTCACAACCGTAAACAAACAGAAATCACCTGTTAATCACAAAATATGAAACCTGTTAAGTAACAGACATTTTTTTTACTGTGTACACTTGAATGGCATTTAATATTACCACAACTCTGCATAGAAGTGGACACCTAACAAAACTATTGTCAAAAAGCACCAGAAAATTAATAAAGGAGGTAAAGGAAACCACATCATTTCTAGAGAGCTGCAGACCTCTCTGTCAGGATCTGGGGTAAATGTTCATGTCTACAATCAGATGAAAACAGAACGGACATGACATATACTGTACGGGAGGGTTGCTCTGCTCTGCTGGGAGCATTTGCTCTCAAAAACGAACAAAGCTGCCAACTTTGTCAGTGAGCATTTGGACATGAGGCCTTCTGGAAGTCCATTCTCTGGACAGATGAGTCTAAAATATATTTATTTGGTCATAATCAAAACCGGCATGTTTGGAGAGAAGCCAACACTGACTTCTAAGAAAAGAAAATCCCGCCAACAGTAAAGCCTGGTGGTGAAACTATATGTTTGGGGCTGCTTTTCTGGATGACTTCATATTATCCAGGTAGATTCTAATTCTCAGGCTCATCGATAAATTCTTGATGCGAATCTCCAGCCATCAATCAGGGAACTGAAGCTGGGCCGGGAATTGGTGATGCAACTTTAAAGTAAGATTTATACTCTGGATTGGTGATTTTTTTGCATGGCAGATGTCCCTTCAACTTTTCACAACTGGCTTTCTTCTTCAAGAACGCTTCTTCAAGTCGGCAAAAAAACCCAAAAGTTGATATGAGAAACTGGTCAATGGTTACAGAATAAGTTGTATTAATGGGTGCAAAATAAAGGCATTACTTTTTAAAGGGGACTGCATCCATACATCTCTGCAATGACTCATATAACTTATTAATAAAGTCATCTGAAATGACAAAGAAAGCATTCTTGCAGGACTCAATGAGTTCTTCAAGATTATTTGAAGTCCTCAATGCCTCTTCCTTCATCTTACCCCAGACATGCTCAATAATGTTCATTTCTGGTGTCTGGGTTGGCCAATCCTGGATCACCTTGATCTTCTTTGCTTTCAGGAACTTTGATGTGGAGGCTGAAGTATGAGAAGGAGCGCTATCCTGCTGAGGAATTTGCCCTCTCCTGTGGTTTGTAATTTAATGGGCAGCACAAATATCTTAATACCTCAGGCTGTTGATGTTGCCATCCACTCTGCAGATTTCTCACATGCCCCAATACTGAATGTAACCCCACACCATGATTTTTGCTGAACCAAACTTGACTGATTTCTATGAGAATCTTGGGTTCATACGGGTTCCAATAGGTCTTCTGCAGTATTTTTGATGATTGGGATTCATCTCAACTGATGATTCATCAGAAGATTCTACCTTCTGCCACTTTTCCAAATGATCAACTAGAAGTCAAATTATTATTTGTTGCTCTTACAACTGGGATTGACGACAAGACTTTTGTCAGGTAGTGTACATACATTTCCAGATTTTGTGAGATAAATCACCCTGCTGAATAATTAAAGAGAATATATATCATTTTCTCCATCATTTGGAAAGTCCGCTTTACTAATTGGGGATTAGAAGTACATTTATTGATGTTATTTTACTTTTTTATTTAAACACAAAAATGACCATGTCTGGAGGGTTTACCCCCCCCCCCCCCAAAAAAAAAAAAAAAATATATATATATATATATATTATTGTAGTACCATGCAAATTCTGTGATTTAGTTCTTTGGTATTGCCTATAACTCAAAAATGGGTAAGAAACTAATTGATCTTTAAAAAAAATCTCAAATAATGCTTTTATTCAGCGAAAATGCATTTAATTAATCAAAAGTGACTGTAAAGTGATGTACACTGTAACAAATCAATCCAATTCACCTTTATTTGTATAGCGCTTTTACAATGTAGATTGTGTCAAAGCAGCTTCACATAGAAGATTATAGTAAATTGAAACAGTGTCACTACAGTTTTCAAAGTTCAGTTCAGTTCAGTTTAGCTCAGTTCAGTGTGGTTTAATAATCACTACTGAGAGACCAAACACTGAAAAGCAAATCCATTGATGTGCAGCTCTACAGATACCGAACCATGCAAGCCAGTGGTGAATTAAAAAACAAGAATTAAAAAAACAATACACTGTAAAAAAAAAAGCTGAGTTCCACACAATTAATTTGTGTTGGGACAACATGAAGGAATTAGGCTAATTTATACATTTTTACACATTTAAGTGGATTAAACATAAAATAATTAAGTTGTCCCCTCAAAAATCTCAAGAATTATGTTGTTTCAACAATTTAAATATGCTGAACAAACAGCAAATGTGATTTGAGTTTTTTTGAGTTTAGTTTACCTTCAAAATAAAATCTGTTTGTTATGTGTTATCTGTTACATAATTAGCTCCCCAGATGGAACCCGAACCCACAATCCCATGGCTTAGGAAGCTAGTGCCTTATCTACTAGACCACTGAGGCTTGGTCTAGGGGTATGATTCTCGCTTTGGGTGCGAAAGGTCACAGGTTCAGATCCCAGACGAAGCCCTGGTTACAGTCCCTACTTAAATGCGATCCTAAAACAACGTAACATAAATAAACAACGGCCAAAAATACAATTGTACAAAACATCAAAAATCATACTCAACAATTGAAAAGGAAGCTTTGACGCTGGTTTTGGCCCTCAACAACTTTGAAGTTTACATGTGCTCTTCAATCTATCCAATGACTATCTACACCGATCACAACCTTCTCATCTTTATTCAATTATGTTACGGTCCCTACTTAAATGTGACTCGTGATCCTAAAACAACACAACATAAATAAACAACAGCCAAAGTGAACGCCACACATAACACTGTTCTTAAAACATCTATACATTTCTACTCTAATTTATAGATCACAGAATCCTAAAGATCAATTTTACATTGATAAAAGGTCATGCTCACTAAGTCAGCATATTCAAATTTAAAGGAGAAATAATGCGGAAAATTCAGCTTAAGCAGGGGCCTCTGTAGAGTGTCCAACACATGTGAACAAACACACACATTCTCTGAATGCTCACCTTCTGGTTGAGTCCCCTCTTCCTGATCATACGTGAATTCCCTGAACCAGACTCCAACAGCAGAAAAAAACTGATCAGAAGAACCGGCACAAACCCAGTCCACATCTGACAGCCCTGCATGATCCCGCTCATTCAGCCTGACCGTCCTTCTTCTTTCTCAACAATCCTAAAACTTTTACAGTTGGTTCTTCTGTTCAGAAACGTCCTCTTCTTGCTTGTTGGATGGGTTTAAATGTTGTGGCTTCCTGTCCAAATTCTCTGTCCTGTTAAATTCCAATCCAGGAGAAATTCTAGTGGCATAAAGAGTGAGTGAGAAGACGGAGTGAGAGAAGGAAAAGAAAGAAAATGAGACAGCTGTCTGTGCATGGGTTATTACTGAGGAGAGGGTTAAATGTGTCTACTGACACGAAAAGCACATGGTTACTCTGAGAGAGGGAGGGAGGGAATGAGAAAGAGGGAGGGAGTGAAGAGTACGAAAGTTGGGAGAATGAGATTTTCTTACACTGTTCCTTTTGGCTGGGCATCTTTATTAAGTCATTTCATGGCCTGCTGCACACTTGCATGTCTTCATCTGGAAATTCATCTGTGAAGTTTCTGTCAAAGCAAAAGGTCAATAGAAAATGTAATATTTCACATGTCTGCTTTTGTTTTGAGGAAGTTATTCCTTGAACCAGGTTCCTTTCGTTTCTTTGAGACTGTATTTGTGCTCATTTCCATAGGATGAAACAGACTGGGCGAAGAAGCAGACAGAATGAAAGCATGTGGTGAATTCTAAGGAAGGGGCCACTAGTCTTTGAAAATTCACGTTCCCTCCAAAAGTAGGACATCCCGCCTCCAGCCCCACACTCTCTGTACCCTTCTGTACCCCTGCTGCAGGAGCTGAAAAAAGACAAGGAATGCCAAGTCCATTTTAACCTTTAACACTACTGCTTTGGCTGGAAGCGGACACCTGTGAGAGGATTTACAAGAAAAAGTTAGTACCACCAGATAAATCCCGGGTAATAGGTGTAAATGTTAAAAGGCAACAAAAGGCCCCATATGTAATTTTATTTCATTAATGTTATTGAATATTTCACTCAAGTAGCACCTTTATAAATTACACTAATATACAGATAGACAGACCGACAGACAGGCAAAATTATAGACATACAGGCATGCAGACAGACAGGCATACATACACATAGACGGACAGACAACAGGAAGGCAAACATATAGACAGAAAGACAGACAGACATAGACAGACAGATAAACAAACATATACAAATAGATAGACATACAAATAGACAGATAGACAGACAAACAGGCTTACATACAGACAGACATAAAGACAAACAAGCCAACATAGACATACTGACAGACAGATACACAGTCAGAGAGACAGGCACACGTATACACATACATACATACATACATACATACATACAGACAGACAGACAGACAGACAGACAGACAGACAGATAGACAGACAGACAGACATGCATACATACATACATACATACATACATACATACATACATACATACATACATAAAGACAGACAGACAGACAGACAGCATACATAGACAAAAGGGCAGGCAGACAGACAGTTAGACAGGCATACATACAGACAGAGACAGACAGACATAGACAAACAGACAGACAGACAAACAGACTGACAGACATAGACAAACAGACATGCAGACAGACAACAGACAATAAGACAGGCATACATAGACAATCATACAGAAAAGACAGACAAACAGGCATACATAGACAAACAGACAGAAAAGACAGACAAACAGGCATACATAGACAAACAGACAGAAAAGACAGACAAACAGGCATACATAGACAAACAGACAGAAAGACAGACAGGCATACATATACTAACAGACAGATAGACACACAGACAGACAGGCATACATAGACAAACATACAGCCAGCCAGGCAGCCAGACAGACAGACAGACAGACAGACAGAAAGGCACACATAGACAAGCAGACAGACAGACAGACAGACAGCCAGGCATACATAGACAAACAGAAAGGCAGACAGATAGACAGACAGAAAGGCATACATACGGTAGACAAACAGACAGGCAGATAGACAAACAGACAGACAGACAGACAGACAGACAGACAGACGTAGACAAACAGATAGGCAGACAGACAGACAGATAGCCATACAAAGAGACAGACAGACAGACAGACAGACAGACAGACAGACAGACAGACAGACAGACAGACAGAAAGACAGATAGGCATACATAGACAAATGGACAGACAGACTGACAGACAGACAGGCATATATAGACAAACAGACACATAGATAGATAGACAGACTGGCATACATAGACAAACAGACAGACAGATAGACAGACAGACAGAGAGATAGACAGGCATACATAGACAAACAGACAGAAAAGACAGACAGGCAGGCATAAATAGACAAACAGACAGAAAGACAGACAGGCATACATATACAAACAGACAGATAGACACACAGACAGACAGGCATACATAGACAAACATACAGACAGACAGACAGACAGACAGACAGACAGACAGACAGGCAAACATACTGACAGAAAAACAGGTATACATAGACAGACAGACAGGCAAACATACAGACAGACAGGCAGGCATACACAGACAATTAAACAGACAGACAGACAGACAGACAGACAGACAGAAAGACAGACAGGCATACATAGACAAACGGACAGACTGACAGACAGATAGGCAAACAGGCATATATAGACAAACAGACACATAGATAGATAAACAGATAGGCATACATAGACAAGTAGGCAGACAGTCAAACATGCATACAAAGACAAACAGACAGGCATACATAGACAAACAGACAAACAAACAGACAGATAGCCAGACAAAGAGACAGATAGACAGACAGACAGAAAGACAGACAGGCATACATAATCAAACAGACAGACAGGCAGGCAGACAGACAGACAGACAGACAGACAAACATGCTTACAAAGACAAACAGAAAGGCAGGTAGGCATACAGACAGACAGATTTTTCATTAACAATTATTTGCTGTAGTATTTTTGACAATGGACGTCTAAATGAATGAATAACAAATGTAAGAAAGAATGAAACGTGTTTAAAGGGACTCCAGTGGATGCACATGGGTCATCTGAAGCACAGCTGCTTGGATTCCTTTCATCTGTGCTTGTTTTCAGAGCTCTAATACAATCAGTCCCAAACTTGCTCAATCTAAAGATCGGATCAAGAACACAGTGTCACAATAAGAACCTTTTTTTCTAATGATCATATACTATAAATCAGAACTGCCTTACAACTCCTAAGCATCTGTTGAGTAAACGCAAACCACGCCACCGTAAAATTCAATCTGATGTGTGAGAAAAACCTTTACGCCGTAATGCTGCTCATCCTGAAAACAGCCAGTGTTCCTGGGGTTGTTGCCTTTTATTATCTGTATATGGCATGATTGGTGCATTGTGGAAATAAGCTTTTGTGATTTATGTGAGGATAAAAGCAAATAGGGGTTCGACCTCACTGGGCTCCAGAAAGAAAGAAGATAAATCTGCTAGAAAAGAATGCTATGATGTCCTTTCTCTCTCTGACTTGTGCTTTGAAACAAATACATCTCCTGCATGTAGGTGCATGTAAGTGATAATGGCTTGACTGTGTGCGTTTCTAAGCACAAGTAGATATGGTGGGTGTGATTATACAACTAAATATTATCTCCCAAATCTCGAATTGTCTTTGGGTATTGTTGTAAAGCATTTCTTTGTAGGTGTACCACATATATTGTCTACATTGGTTGATAATTAACAATATCTGCTTACCTCAAACACTACTGTGTTTCGGGCCTGTAAAAAAGTTTGCTTCGTGTTGTCAGCATGCCAACAAAATGAATGTCTTTGTGTTCTGTGCTGCAAACTCAATAAGAGTCAGTGCTGTTCATATTATTTTGCATTAGCTTGATAGAAACAGATATTGAAAAATGCACACATTTGGCCTAAATCACTATTAAGATATAGTTCACAAGTACAGTTTGAAGCAGTTTGATGTTACAGTAAGCATAATTGTACTATTTAATGTCTTTGAGATATGGTGTTTTTCACAGGTGTATAATTCATCAGTAAGTGTTATAAGGTCATGAAATTTTTCCACTTTGCTGCCAGGACTGCATGAGCTTTCTGCATTTGAGTTTCTGCTAAAATTGATCAACTTATTTTGTAATTAATATGGTGCTAAATGAATAATGCAGTAGGTATAATTGAGTTACTATTTAAAAAGTGAAATCAATTAGTAAAAGTGCATAGAAGTGTACATTTATGCATCATTTCATCATCTTCTTGGCTTAGTCCCTTTATTAATCAGCGGTCGTCACAGCGGAATGAACCGCCAACTAATCCAGCATATGCTTTATGCAGCGGATGCCCTTCCAGCTGCAACCCATCACCGGGAAACAGAGTAGATTTAGTGTTATGAAAACATACAGGTACACAAAAATATAACTTTCAAGTCTAATACACTGCAATGCAATTCATTTCCCCCCCAAAAATCTCAAGAATCGTGTTTCAGCTAATTTTAAATAAGTAGTTCGAAAAAACAGCAAACTTATTTTTTTGAGTGTAGTTCACCCAAAAATGAACATTTCCTCATCATTTATTCACACTCAGGTGCACTGTTGACTCAACTTAAAGTTTTAAGGCAACCAGCTTCAGGACATTTTTGAGTTTACTATACTTAAATCAAGCCAAGTGCAGTACTTGGGTTGAAAGTTGAGTCAACTCAAAAAAGCTCTGCAGCAAGTTGAATTACAATTTTTATTTATTATAATTTTTTATTTTTTGCGGTGTGGTACTGAACTTTTATGTTTTTTTTTCTTCTTCTTCTGAACACAAAACACAGATGAATGTTTCCAAACATTCTTCAGTATATCTTTCTTTGTGTTCAATCAACAGAAGAAAGCCAAATAAGTTTGAAAAGAGTGGAAGATGAGTACATTTTTTTATTTTTAGGTGAACTGTCCCTATAATGAATGTCGCTAAATGCTAGATCACCAAATCAATAACAATAACATAGAAGCACAAAACTTCTGATTAAAATATATACATTTTGCCAGAATATTGGTTGTTTTACAATAAATTTACCATATGTACTTTAAGTATGTTTTATGATAACAGTAACCGTAAAGTGACACTGTATGGAGGTGATCAAAATAGTCTGGTGAACTTTTGCTTTAAAATCTTTTTAAAGGTTTTAAAAAATATATATTTTTATATGGTCTATATATTTTTAGATTGTAATATTACAATTTTAAAATTCCATCTGACTTTAATCCTTTTTTGCACCAGTGTAAGCATAGCCTATTTTTCATATAGTCTTTACTATCAAAATTGTCGTATTGGACAACCTGATAACTGGTTTTAAGGTTTAGCGTGGGTTCGAAAAGTCAACGTTTTTAAAACACAAAAATTTCCTATTATACCGTTCTTACGGTATATATGTAAGTTTTTTTTTTGTGTGCTTTTTGCAACTACTTTGAGTTTTTTAGGGCAACAGTACCTCCAGCAACAAAAGACCATCCACGTCAAAAGATACTGTTACAAAATCTTTTAAATGTTTCTTAAAATTAAATGTATTGTGTTGGGGAAAAGGCTTGTTGTTTTTTTTACCCATACATTTAAAAATAACACAATCTATAAATCTAAAATAATTAAGAGCAGTAACCATAATACTGTGAATCTGTGATATTTTTTTCCAAGGTTATCATTCCGACAGGATCT